CCTGTAATCTTTAGGGAACTAGTGCTCCCTGACGGATTCGATCTCGTGTCACTCAGCTTCACAGTCAGAGACGTTACCACTGAGCTGTTGGGGCCGCAACCGACCTCTTGTAGGACTGAGATGTAATCGCAACTTGATCAATAGCATTCGATCAACACTAAGAAGGACTTGACACGTATGACATTGATCACCACCCAGTGATCAATCAATTGTGACTAAATATGTGCTTTCAATGCTTCCTAGATTTCAATATTCCTTCAACTGATATAATGGAAATCTCCCATTAAAACAAATTTTGATTTTAATGAAATCAATTGTTTTTTTTTTCAAAAAAACACTTAGATATTTTGATTGCATATCTACGACAGGAAAGTGATCATTCGTTTAAATATTTCAATCATGTTTTTTTGTGTTTGTCGTCATGGCAACATAACACAGTGGAATTTATATGATATAATTACTTATAGTTTATTATAGTTAAATAAAACACCAGGTATCATTGATTGCTTTTCACGGAATTTTGGTTTTTGAATCTTAAATTTCTCATTTAAACCTTTTATTATTATTTGTTCAATTATCAATAGTTACTGAGTTAAACTACATTAATGTACAGAGATTCCACGTATTTCATGAATCCTTTAAAGTCTTCCGTAGGTTCATTTGTCCGTAAATTCAGAAAAAGCGACATAAATTCGTTTCTTATGGATATAGCTTACTCATCTCCTTAAACACTTATAATGGATTAAATAGATTTTTAATAGTGTTCGTGGTTAAGGTCAGGATTCGGGTTCCAAGGTTATTGCTTTCAACACTAACTGATGTGAACTACAACATAAAAGCCTTCTATAGATATATGAATAAAAGAATGATAAACGGGTAAAAATCCAAGATCTAGTGTCTGATTATTTCATCCATAAAATATATCACAACTTGGTTAAAGTTTGCTTTAGGATTAAAGGCTTGTGAATAGTGTTGCCTTGACTATTATAAACAAACTACATAGACCGAATTGAACATGTAATATGTTCAACTCCATCATCATTCTGAACGTTCCGAGTATGAAATACACATATTTCTACAACTCGTTTGACATAATATTTGAATTTTGCATGAAATTAAAAGAATATCAGTCTCTATTCCGATTGATCCGTCATCATACATTATATTAACACTACATTTAAGTATACTATACTACTAACACATCTTATGAAACTTGGACAAATAACAATGATATCAGAAATCCTGCTGTAATTTTCAATATGCATACATTCATTAGTATGAGGTTTTGGAAATTATTAAGTTTTATAGGATTCATCAACATTATACATTCATGACCTTACAATTAGGATTAAAAAAATCAAGAACTTCAATCTCTTACGTAAATATTTAACCTCTAGACCACTAAATTAGGGTTCAAAAATCTTGTGTTCAATCCCCAGCTACAAAGTTGAAGATTCTGATTGCTAAAATATCCTACATTAAGATGAAATGAGTGTCCATCACTTACTTTTTTTTAGTAGCTATCAAACTAAGATCGATTCGATAAGATGGTGGTTGGAGGTGGTCAACAAGAAACCCTGGACATAGGTGTCGTTCTACTTGGCACTCGTCAGCAAGGTGTACCTGTAATCTTGAGGGAACTAGTGCTCCCTGACGGATTCGATCCCGTATCACTCAGTTTCACAGTTAGAGACGTTACCGTTGAGCTATTTGGGCTGCGACCGACCTCCTGTAGGACTGAGATGTAATGACAATTAATTGATCACTGGGTGATGATCAATGTCATGCATGTCAAGTCCTAGACTAGTGGCCACATTGCAACTTGATCGATAGCATTCGATCAGCACTAAGAAGAACTTGACATGCATGACATTGATTATCACCCAGTGATCAATTAATTGTGATGAGATCGATTCATTTTTCTAAAATAAAATTACTTATCACTTCATAACAATGATTTGTTCAATTTCAAATTGGCGCCTCTTATGTACGTTTGTGTTCATAACTATAACGTTAGCAATAAGTTGAATGTATCATTAATTGCTATGTGTTTCACACATTTTTTAATATTCTTGTCAATCTACTTAACTTATTCATCCAAAAACTAAATCAATCAATGGTAATAACTGTCAATTACTGGTCATTCTTTGTATTATAATTAAAGTACATGCTAAAAAATCAGCAATAGTCAACACTCAAAAAATGCCATAGGCATTTTTTTATATTTTTTAAAACTATTGTATAGATCATATCAAAAAATGTATAATACCTGATCATAAATAGTAGTTGCTGTGAACATCAACTCTGAGATACAGGTACATCCAGCTAGTGACGAGTCCCAAATAAGTTGAAACGCGCGTCAAACTGGATTTCATTGCTAGCTACTATCCATCTTTGCTTATAATGTTTGTGAATTAAAGCTATATCGAGGCAATACTCACAGTATACACATATACCAATTAGAGACTGACCAGTTGCAGTCCTAAACATCAATGGGAACATTCAAACAAACAATACTAAGTGAATAGTTGCTATGGTTAACTTTCAAAAAAAAATAAAATAAAATAAAACAATGTTGTATATTTAAGTGTGAATATGTTACCAATACAAAAAGGATACATGATTGCAAACATACGAAACATACTGAATGTATAATCATAACAATATGGTTTATTACCTACTTTCATTATGATGTAAATAAATCTTGTAAAGTACACAAAAAATCTTATTTATTTAAACACATAACTATAGGTACAAAGGGGGCACCATATATATATATATATGCGCCAAACCATTCTCATTTAATTTGTATAAGACCTGTGATACTAACCAGATGCCCAAACTGAAGCAGGTACATAAAAACACACTATTAAGGATTATACTTAGAAAAGTTTTGAATTATGGTACACGATATACATCTGTATACATCTATATCACATTTCTTTTTATGTTACCATGTTACCGGTGTTTTGTTATCATTATTACTATTATTAATATTACTATTACTATAAATACACCATTTGTATTTGATATGTAATAATATAGTAAACTAGGTATATACATAGGGTAACATATAAACAATTATGATAATCATCAAAATAGTAATTTATGATCTGCATTTTTTGATTTTGTCATTCTATTACATGTGTTATATATGCATAGAAGAATTAGTTACTATGATACCTTAGTTACAAATCGATGCCTGTCTATATCAGAAATTATGAATATACATGGAGATAATAATATAGTTTGACTAAAGTGATAAGTTTGAAGTGAACTTTTTTTTTTTTTAATTTTCAGACAAACAAGATGAAAGTGTAAATAAAGTGCCATTTATCCCAGTATGTATATACATATACATATAGGGGTTTTATATAGATAGATTAATTTATTCTGTCTACACATGTTATATAAATGTTGTTTTTTTATCACTTATATCAATGACCGACAACTATCTTATGAAGTTTATTCATTCAAGTAAATAATAAATGATAAACTTGTCTGAATGGTAGTAGTAACTATTATATTGTGTAAATTAGATATTTATCAGTAGGGTGGGAGGGTTTGTGGAGATTCAAAGTAATTATATATCGTTGAAATCATGAGTCAATTGAAGCTAGACTATCATGGAAAACCTGGAAGTACTGATTTAAGGCTGTTTCTTCCTATTGTGGGACTCCTCAGTGGCAGTGCGCATCCACGATCCTGCCTCACGAGATTCGAACCCAGGACGTATCAGTCTCGCACGCAAGCATTTAACCTCTAGACAACTGAGCCGGCATCCCATGGTGTTAATGTTTAACTTCACTGCTGAGGAGTCCCCCACAATAAGACGAAACGGCCGTCCAGTGCTTCCAGGTTTTTCATGGTGGTCTAGCTTCAATCGACTAATGATTTCAACCATATAAAATCACTAAATTCTCCACAAAACCCCCTACTCGTAATGATCATATGCTCACTACTGACTGGCTCCATTAGGTATTTCCTGGAGTTCTAATGAGAAGTAGTAACCAATGGAGTTCAACCAGATCTGTTGGAAGATATCAACTCAATGAAGACATTGATGAAATGGTATATAAACTTCGTGGATTAGTTGAAGTTAGACATTAACACCGTTGGATGCCCGTCAGCTCAGTGGTCTAGTGGTGAAGTGCTTGCGCGCGAGACTGATAGATTCTGGGTTCGAATCTCGCTGGACGGAATCGTAAATACGCACTGCTGAGAAGTCCCATACTAGGACGAAACGGCCATCCAGTGATTCCAGGTTTTCCATAGTGGTCTAACCTCAATTGACTCATGATCTCAACTATATAAAAGTTTGATAAGATTATCTAAATTTCTTTATAGTACAACATTAAAATATCACCCACCCTGTAGTGAATACAAACTTGGTGGAAACAATCCATTTATTCCTGTATTCAAAATTACAATGTGCTTTCGTAAAATACGATAATCATACATTAAATATATTATTTACCCATTTTCCCTACCTGGTCAAATATGCCCTACATTAACATACTACTGAATATTCTACTTACATAAATGTTATTTTTCTTAAAAATATATCTCTTTTTATGGTTGAACGCGTGAGTCAATTGAAGCTAGATCACCATGGAAAACCTGGAAGCACTGGACGGCCAACTCGTCCTATTATGGGATTCCTCAGCAGTCCGCATTCATGATCCCACCTCGCGAGCGAGATTCGAACCCAGGACCTATCAGTCTCGCGCCATAGCATTTAAGCGATGGACCATTGAGCTGGCCGGTATCCTACGGTGTTAATGTCTAACTTCAACTAATCCACGAAATTGAGCAACCATTCACTATCTTTATTTCCATAATAGGACGGAACGGCCGTCCAGTGCTTCCACGTTTTCCATGTTGGTCTAGCTTCAATTGACTCACGCTTTCAACTATGAAAATACTAAATCTTCACAAAACCCCTTCTGATATCTCTTTTTAATCTCTAATAATTTGTTTTTTTAATCTTTTATATTTAGTCGAATGTTTCCATCATTTAAAGTACGTGTTACTGGATTAGATAGAAATGCGAAATATATTATGTTATTAGATATTGTATCACGTGATGAACATCGATATAAATTTCAAAATGGTAAATGGACAATTGCAGGTAAAGCTGATCCAGAACCATGTCGTAAACCATATATACATCCAGATTCTCCAACAACTGGTGAAGAATGGATGCATAAACCAATTTCATTTCATAAATTAAAATTAACTAATAATGTAGCTGAAAGACAATCATTTGTAAGTTTGGGTTATTTTATTATTAATATTTTTTAGTTTATGTAATCACAACTAGTGCTCTTCCTGAGTCTGCTTTGGGCGAGATTGTAATTTATGGATGACATTTGAGCGACACTAAAGTGATCTTGAGAATGTTCACCTACTTTCTTGAACTAAAAGAGAGTTATAAATCTATTTGAAGAATAAGGATTATGATTTACGGTTGATGTTTAGGGTTTTCATCACTAACTGATAGAAGCTAAAATGTCAAAACTCTATTTAGCCAAATGGATGAATGAATTTTGCGCTAAAATCCAAAACTTGTTATCCTAAATTCTATTGATTCCTCAATAAATTATAGCCTCGCCCCCCCCCCAAAGACTTATTTTGTTAAGCATTTGTGTATTGAATGTAAACTCGGGTTGGGAAAATCAATCTATTGTTTAATTCAAACATATAGAGTGCTTTCGTAAAATATAGAAACCATATATTGAATACATTATTTGTAAGTTCTCATTCAATCGTCCTTTACATGCTTCATGATTCTTTCAATCCTATAAGCATCACGGCTGCTTTCTGTTTCCCTTTCTGTTCTCATCCATTGAATCTTCTTAATCTTCCAACGACATGCATTCCACTTTCAGTTGGTGTTACAGACGACTTTAAGTAGCATATACAACATACGTTTTTCAAGAACAAAGTCGTAGTTATATTTTGAATAGTAGTTAACAATAGAGTTCATATCTTGTATTTCAGCTTATTTAGAACTATTCGGCTATATGTACCTTCATTAGAGTACTTAGATTAACACTGTGATATGATCCTATTATTAGTTATTCAACTTTCGTTTTTCCAGTATAGTTTTCGAAGTTGTAGAGTTGAAACAGTAGAGTGTTTTAAAATCTGTATTTCTACATCAAATTTTATACATAATATTACTCAGTAATTCTAATTAGGCAATCAGTGAAAAACAGGAAGCAATGAAAAGGTATTACTTTTCAACATGCGACTCCACAGAAGTATATCTCCATGAGTTTAACCAAGAATTGAATTCAAGATATTCAAGTTTCTCAATCTTAAGACCACTGAGTTTATATTTAGTTTTCGAAAAAGTGAATTTTAAAAATATCCCTGATGTATTCAAGATAAATTTGAAAAGTAAAGCTTGAATTGTAGAAAGTGAGAGAATAAATGAGTGAATGTGTTCTTTTTCTAAATTTGGCTTATACCACAACCATTGTTAGTAACCAATTTCAACTGACTATCCCTTACAATCCTAATATTCATATTGCCTATTAGTTGACCTTCAACCACGACACTTGTTTATAATTTCAAAGTAAAGCGATACTCACCTTGAATATTAATGCTAAAATGTTGAAGGTTTATCTTCACCTTTAAACTAATAACTTCGAAACCAGGTGTTTAAGTGTTATTCTGATTTTCAATGTTTCAATGTACAACATACAATTTAATGTCACTTAATAAATTGATAGAAATAAAAACTTATATCACGAATTGTTCCTAACCATAGAATCATGAGAAACCAGGCATTTCACCCTTGTCTGGGACTCTAAAGCAATGTCCATTCACAACCCCGCATCCAGCAGTTGAATTTAGGACCTTCAGTCTTTCACGCAAACACTTAACCTCAAGACCCCTAAGTGGGAATCTAATGGTTTCCATGTCTAACTTCATACTTAAATTCATATCTGTTGATTTTATTTATAAAACAAATAGAATATATATAAATCTCTTCCAAATAATGAACAAATATTGCTTTGAATTTTACAATATTTCAGCAAGCTGTACTCAATTCAATGCATAAATATATACCAAGATTTCATATTGTTCGTGCAGATCATTTAAATAAAATGAATATGTCCAATTTTGTTACATTTATCTTCGATGAAACTGAATTCATCGCTGTAACCGCTTACCAGAATGAACGAGTAAGTTTAATTTTTTAAGTGTTTTCTCGTAGTTAAGTGTCGTTAATAGTTGATCGAACTGAAACTTGAGAAATGCATGTTGCATTGTATAGGTGGATGGAGGTGGTTAATATGAAGCCTTTGATCGAAGTTACGTGTTGGTTGATACTTGCTAGAAAAGTGTACCGATAATTGTTTTCGGTGGAGGGGGACTCATACCCTGTGGCAGATTCAAATTTACGTCGTCTAGTTTCACACTCTGAGAACTGACATGTAGCTATTTAGTCCATGACTGACCTTCTCTACGTAAGAGCTTCTACATCTGGTTGATCACTGAGTTGGTCACCGATCAAGGTCATATTTATCCAGTCCTTAAGTACTGAGTGTATTCTATTGAACAACTTAAATTATGGTTGTCAATATTGAAGTCAAAACGGATTTTTATGTTTGCATTAAACAATTTTTATTTTTTGGTCACTTAATCACTACAAATGTAGGGCTGATAAGGTTGTTGAGTTTTGATTGAGATAATGAATTGATCAATGACAGACTACCATTGAAAATTTAAAAGTACTGGATGATCGTTTCGTTCTATCACGGGACTCCTCAGTATTGCGTATTCACGATCCCACACAACGAAATGGAACCCAGAAAAATCAAAACTTATTGAATTAGATATTTGAACAAAAATTCCATTTCCGTTTATGGGTTATTTTAACCACTAATAACCTACACAATACGAAAACCATGTATGAATAATTTTATAGTATATTTGTGTACATAGCTCATCACTTGCAGTCCTAAACATCAATGGGGAGATTCAAACAAACAATACTAAGTGAGTTTAAACTTCACCCAACTGCACAACCAAGTGGCTATCAGGACTCAGTAGGTGAGTGGGTAGCGAAATGGCGTTTGAAGCTAACGGTATTGGGTTCGAGTCCCAGAGTGAACATCAACTTTGAGATGCAGGTACATCCAGCTATTGACCAGTCCCAAATAGGATGAAACGTGGGTCAAACTGGATTCCACTGCTAGCCACTATCCATCTTTGCTTACAATGCTTGGGAATTTAGGCTATATCGAGGCAATACTCACTGTATGCACATATACCAATATGAGACTGACCAGTTGCAGTCCTAAACATGAGTGAGAACATTCAAACAAACAATACTAAGTGAATTTGGTTCATTTTTTTTGTTTAAAACAAAGTCGAAAAATTATTAAGTTGAAGTGTTGATAATAATTTAGATTGTTCACTAATGAATGACACGTAAAAACAGGTTAGTAACAACACTGAACACCTGTTTCTGCGTTTAAGATTCAATGGTAAGATGGACGAAAATCAAAGAAATGAGAATTAACATCAACACTATTTAACATTTCATTTTTCGAAATGTATATTGACAATTGAACAACTGAACATTGACCAGTGGAGTTCAACTACGTCTGTTGTGAGATGACAACTCACTGGAGACAATTGGCGAACGGCTGCTCAAACTTCGTGGATTTGTTGAAGTTAGACATTGACACCGTTGGATGCCGGCCGGCTCAATGGTCTATCGGTTCAGTGCTCTGGCGCGAGATGGGATGGTGGGTGCACACTGTGGAGGAGCCCCATAATAGGACGAGTTGGCCGTCCAGTACTTTGAGATTTTCCATGGTGGTCTAGCTTCAATTGACTAATGATTTCAACTATTAAAATAAATGAAACAATTTTGTTTACGAGACTGATCTCCAGATTTCAAACGAGCAGATTTTATAGGACAGAATCACTGATCAATCAGCTGAATATTGTAACTTACATACAGAATGATCGATGACTAATAACCAATGTTTTGTATGCCTAATTCTCAATGATTTTTAAATTCCGTCGATCATATTACAACGTAGGCACTAGTCTAATTGATTTAACATTGAGTTTATTATATTTTAAGATTTGATAATTGAAAGAAACTAACAGAAAAATTCACTTAGTATTGTTTGTTTGAAGCGAAAGGTACTGAGTTCGAGTCCCAGAATGAACATCAACTCTGAGATGCAGGTATATCTAGCTGAAGAGTCCCAAATATGACGAAACGCGCGTCAAACTGGATTCCACTGCTAGCCATTATCCATCTTTGCTCATAACAGAAAAATCCTATTTTTTATTTAAGTTTCATGATGATTAGGACTTGAAAGATCTAATACTTTCAGTGATATTCGAACATGTGCCAACTCATTGTACAATTACGAACATTATCACTAGGCTATTCAATTAGCAACTGATTACCTATGTCTGGTAACAGCTGAAATCTCTTGTATCTTTGTCCAATATGATGTAGTTATAATCGAATTTCAATACTTTTTTAAAAAACTGATATCGAGTTTTTCATATAATGAAGAAATTTTATAGCTAAAGTGAATAATTTTAGTGAAGTTGCTTTCTCTAATGTTGATGATTTAATCGTGAAGCTTCCATCGTTCTTCTGAATAACAACATCAGTATAAACTTCAGATAGAAATGAGTTATTCAGATTCTTCTATCAGAAAAGATCTAGTTTATTGATGAATTAATCAGATCAAATACAAATATCAGATCAATAATCAAGTTAAATGAGAAAGATAATCAAATTTCATTAAAAGATAATAATAAGATATTAGTTAACAATAACTAATCAAGATCAAAATCGATCATTCAATCAATCAATCAATCATAATTGAGAAAATTGTAATTTCTCATTTTAATCAAAAATTTATGCTGATTAAAATTATCCAGTAGAACAATAAAAGCTCCATGATTAAATCATCTAACCAAAAAAATTAGTAACGATCATGAAATCTCAGTACGGATTCAAAAATCTCGTTTGACTTTTGCCAACTTACGTCACCTATGGAGAAGGCGAGATATCTGTCTATCAATTAAAGGATAAGTATACTGCACAGCAGTTCGATCTTTTCTATTTTACGACTGTGAAACATAGCCATTAAGAGTAGGAGATACTCGTAAGTTACTATTATTTGACCACAGATGCTTTAGAAATATTGCTCACATCTCTTGGGATCACCGGGTAAGTAATAGTTAGGTTACACACAGGGTAAATCAATTGATGAGGTGATGAATCTTCATCGACTGAGATGGTTAGGCCATGTGTTACGTATGCCGGAACACCGATTACCACGACGCGCTATGCTGACTAATATTGGTGATGGTTGAAAGTGAGTTAGGGGGGCGGCCAAACCAAAACGTGACATCAGTGCTTGAAGTCACTAACTTCTAGTCTGAGCCATGTTGGCAGATGCAGACTACTTGGTTGGAGTCCGCGTGACTATCATAACCAATGGTTGGAGACTCTAGGTGACATGGCTTAGAATCGATCACAATGGCATAGGTGTGTATACTCTTTATCTTTCCTAAAACCTTGAGATTACAATTGCTTCATATCTTTCTTCCTGTACTATATTCTTATATACAGCCTTTCTTTTATATATTACCAACACTAAATTAACTACTATGAATCCGGTGTTCATCTTGCTATGTTAATGAGGTGTGGCAACTTTGACTGATGCATATGTGTACCTGGTCCTACATTGTATCTGACTGACTGACTGAATAATACGAAAAAAAAGCATAAACTAAGCTCACTGTTGAGGAGTCTCACAATAGTTGACCATCCAGTTGGCCGTTCAGTGATTCCAGGTTTTCCATGGTGGTCTAACTTCAATTGACTCATGATCTCAACTTTATTTGTTTATTCACACACTCTTTTTTTTTTTAAAAAAAAAGATAAGAATTGAATCCATTAAAAATGTGAAAATTTTTTCTAAAAACGTTTACATTTGCTGTATACATACACACACACACACACCTATACACCCCTACACGTGTATATATCCACTACTCACCACCAACATACATGTAAACACATAAATATCCATTGACATATCGTTTATATTATTATTGTGAAATGTATTCATTCATTTCAAATAACCCGTATCTTAGATGATCATATGATGATAATAATCATAATCATAATTATTATTATCTATTCCAGTTACCTTTCTCTTTTTGTTAAAAAAAAAATAAAAAAAGAAAAAAAAAATAAAGAAAAATCTTGTGGTAGACACGTGTTTGTTGAATATCTTTATGATGAAAATAAAAATTTTTTTTAATTTTTTTTTTTAAAAAAAAAGAGTTGATCTTAACACCTGAATAAAAAAAAACCCTTAAACCTATACCCATTTTTAAAAAAAATAAATCACATTACATTACATTATAACACCCACATATTTATATAAACTATGCAGACAGGAAAGTCTTATCAGAATGAATAAATAAATTTTTTTGGTTTAGTTTTTTTTCTTTTTTTTCTTTTTTTTCTTTTTTTTGTTTGTTTACTTGATAAAGTTCATTCATTTTTAAAAAAAAATTATTTTGACAATATCTTCTTTCTTTTCTTTTCTTTTTCTTTTCTTTTTTTATTTATTATAAAAGTAAACATTTTCATTTTGATCGTCTGATGTTGTTTTTCGTATGTAGATAAGAATTTAAAATGAAATGGTTCGACTAGTTTTTTTTTCTTCTTTTTGTTTTTTTTTTCTTTTCAGAAAATAAAAATTAATTTGCCGATAAGTGAATAAAATAAAACTAGCATAAAAATCTAAGTTCATATAGTAGGGCTTATTGTAATAATATTTGATTACAATTATTTTATATAATTGAGATCATAAGCCAATTGAAGTTAGAACATTATGGAAAATCTGGAAGCACTGCTTGAAGGCTAACTCGTTCTATTGTGGGACTCCTCAGCAATGAGCATTCACAATCCCGCCTCACGACATTTGGATCCACGACCTATCAGTCTCCGCCTTTTAGTGCTTCCAGATTTTCTATGGTCGTCTAGCTTCAATTGATTCATGATATCAACTATTAAAATTACTAAAATCTCCACAAAACCCCTTCTGATAATTGTAAAAATATCACTAGTAGTAGTTGTAGTGCTCAAAAAACCTAAGTGGTTAAATGACAAGAATTCGAAACTATCAGAAATCACCAGTTCATTAAAGATTATAGGTTAACTTTACGGATGTGTATGAACTAGTATGAAAAACACAGTATTTTTTGACTCCTTTTAACTACTTATGGTGTTAAGTCATTTAGACTCATGGCCATACTATAAATAGAATTCGATTAACACTGAAGGACTAGATAAACATAACATTGTTCGTAGGAGTAACATCTCTAATGTGACGGTGGATGAGTAGGACTGGAATTCTTTACAGGCTATCAATTAGTTCTCACAGAAATATTGACGATTACTAATTACCATGAAATCTCAGTTAAAACTAATTCTTCCTATTCAATATTTTTAATCACTTAATAAATTCATAAATTGAATAAGACAGAAATTTTACTAACACCTTCTTTATTAATTCTTTGAAAACAATATTCAGGATAATTTAGTGTTTTGATAATTAAATACCAAATCAGAAGAGGTTTTGTGGAGATTTCAGTATTTTTCATGGTTGAAATCATGAATCAATTGAGGCTAGATCACCATCAAAAACCTGGAAGCACTGCCTCAAGACCGTTTCGTCCTAGTGGGGGGACTCCTCAGCAGTGCACATCCACGACCTCGCCTCACGAGATTCGAACCCAGGACCTACCAGTCTCGTGCCAGAACACTTAACCGATAGACCACTGAGCCGACATCCGATGGTGTTGTTGTCTAACTTCAACCAATCCATGAAATTGAGCAACCGTGCACCAATTGTCTTCAGTGAGTTGATATCTCCCACAATAGGACGAAATGGCCTTGAAGCATTGTACCCAGGTTTTCATTGGTGATCCAGCTTCAACTGACTCACGCTTTCAACTATGAAAATACCAAATCGTATTTTACAAAGTAGTGAGAGTTAACTATTTGTCTTTTTAGTTTTTCCTCATGAGATCAAATACATATATATTTTTACAAAGTTGAAATCATGAATCAATTGAAGCTAGACCACCATCGAAAACCTGGAAGCACTACTTCAAGGCCGTTTCGTCTTATTATGGCACCCCTCAGCAGTGCACATCCACGAACCCGCTCTCGCGAGATTCAAACCCAGGACCTACTGGTCTCGAGCCGAAGCCCTTAACCGATAGACCACTGAGCTGGCCAGCATCCAACGGTGTTAATGTCTAACTTCAACTGATCCACGAAATTGAGCAACCATTCACCAATGTCATCAGTGAGTTGATATATCTACAACAGACTTGGTAGAACTCCACTGGTCACTGCTTCCCAATAGAACTCAAGGAAATATCTCTTGAAGTCAGTCACTAGTGAGCATATGATTATAGATTAGAGGGGGTTTTGTGGAGAATTTATTATTTTCATAGTTGAATACCAACTCAGTGATCTTCAGGTTTAGCGTTCACACGTGAAACTGAAGAACCTGTGTTCGAGTCCCAGATGCGGTATCGTGAATGCTCATTACTGAAGAGTTTCGTACTATGACGAAGTGACTGTTCAGTGCTTCTAGGTTTTCCATAGTAGTCTAGCTTAGATCGACTTATGAATTCAACTATTAATATATAATTTTTACTTTACTTTGGAGTATTAAACTAATCATGAACTTTTGTTGGCATGTCTAAATGACAAGGTAACAACTGATTATAATCTGTTTAAATATTTTTTCAATGTTCACAAGTTAATTGGATACAAGATGGGAATTTATTCCAATGTTGTGATATTTTACGTTAAAATTACCCGACTGCAATCAAACGAATAGTAAAGAATAAAATTATTATTATTATTATTATTATTATTATTATTATTATTATTATTATTCACTTCCGTCCATCTCAACACAAACGAACATCGGATTAGATCTGTTTAATGGAACTAGATTGAAGATATTAAAAATGGAATTCATTTGTAAATCCTCCATCAATTGCTTCAAACTTTATAGTTCCTTCATTGGCACAGCAATTACTCCATGGTCCCGTTTTTTTTCTAATCAATCTTCCTAAATTTCTGTTGCTAGGCATTCCACTTCTGATATACTATTTATGTTAACATATGTAGCATACACCACACTGCTATTATTCACAGTATTATTTTCACTACTAGGTTTGTGTATGCATTTTTACTGATCTGTTTTCCGCTTTCTTTCAGATTACTCAATTAAAGATTGATAATAATCCATTTGCTAAAGGATTTCGAGACAATGGTAGTGGACGTCGTGAAAAGAAGTAAGTCAACCCTTTATTGTACTATGTATTAACTCCATATATATCATTAATTTTATTTTCGATGAAATAAACGCTTATTATGCGATGTATTAACACTTATATGCGATCTAATGACTAACTTCAAGAAGTATTATAAGCAAAAACGGATGGTGGTAGCAGTAGAATTCAGGACGTAGGTTTCGTTCTATTTGGAACTCGTCAGCTGAATGTAATTGCATCCCATTGCACAAACTATTGGACTCAGTAGCTAAGTGGATAACTTGATGGCGCCTGAACCGAACAGTATTATTTTATAGTCTCTGACTGATCACCAACTCTGATATGCAGATACGTCTAGTTGACGAGTGACCAAATAGGTTGAAACGCTCATCCTGGATTCCACTGCTAGCCACTATCCATCTTTGCTTACAATGCTTGTGAATTAAGGCTATATCGAGGCAATACTCACAGTACGCACACATGCCAATTAGAGACTAACCAGTTGCAGTCCTAAACATCAATGGGAAGATTCAAACAAACAATACTTAGTGAATTTAAACATCACCTCATCGCACAAGCAAGTGGCTATCAGGACTCAGTAGGTGAGTGGATAACGCGATGACGTTTGACGCGAACGGTACTGGGTTCGAGTGCAAGAGTGAACATCAACTCTGAGATGCAGGTACATTTAGCTGACAAGTCCCAGATAGGACGAAATGCGCGTCAAACTGGATTCCACTGCTAGCGACTATCCATCTTTGTTTACAAGAGTATATAATAATTTATTTATAATAGGTGGAATTGATAATCATTTAGTTTAAGATTGAAGAATCGATCATACCACACCTTAATTCTTATGTTTCTATTGTTCATTATTACTACTGTTATTGTTAGTAGTATCATTACTATTGTTAGTAGTATTATTATTTAATTAAAGCCAAAACAATACAACTTGAATAGTACAATAGATTAATTCTATTGTATTATAGTATTCATATAATTATATACAACTTAATACGTACAATTCATTTAAAAATTAATTAAATATTAACACTAACTTGATAATTAAGAAATGAATTATTTATATTTTTCATCTTGTTAGTTAACCATTGAAAACCTAAAAGCAATGAATGGCTATCTTATCTATGTATGGGACCTTTAAGTAGTACATATCCATGAATATACTCAGAACATTCGGTCTCATCGTGAATGCTGTGGTATCATCTAACTAAAATCAGTCTGTAATGTCAATCATGAAAATTGATTAATCTCCTCGAATTCCCTAGTACGGTTGAGGGTGGGTAGAATCAGCTCTATCTCTCGAAATGCCCTCACATGGTCACGCATATACAACCACTGCCAGAGAAGTCCTACTCACTGCATTCTCGCGGCATTACTGTTGTTTACAAAATTGGGAGGAAGAAAAGCGAATGTCCGGAGCTTTAACTGAAGTGATGAATACATGGGATCCACCTAGGGAAGTTGGAAAACCCTGATTCCAAACTAATGGTGCAAATGAGTTCCAGGATCCTGAGGTAACGAATGGCGTATGAACCTACTGTTGGTCATAGGCTACCATGGGACTATATATCTTAACGTTGCCCTACTGCCTTGTAGATTAGACCTTTAGATCAAAGGCTCTGGAAGTGGTCCTATAAGAAAACCACTTGCTTCTCTTTGAGCACCTAGTCAGTATTCCAGCCCTCAAACAAATCAGATGGTGAAGTGTGGAGGATATATATTTGGTGCCTCCTTGTACCAGTGCTAATGTGTGTAAACAAATAAATAAATCTCCACAATCCCTACCAGAACAATAAAAGTTATGTACTGACTAGTGACCAACTTCGAGATGAAATTTCCGGGGTTCTAGCGAGTAACAATAAATAGTGAAGTTCAACCATGTAAGGCGTGAGACAGTTATTCACTCCAATCAATAAATGATCATGCAATATCGCGAATTGATTGAATTTAGAAATGCATACCGCTGGATACCGTTCCAGTAGTTTAAAGTTTAGATATTCATACGCAAGACCGACGCTACTGAGTTTGACTCCCCGCACGTCATCGATACAGATTGATAAAACGTCCAGTACTTGGATGAAATAGAAGTTCATTACTTTCTGATTTCTAATAACTGTCAAACTAAGATTAGTTCATGATGTAAACTTTGAAAATTCAACAATCTCCTAAAGCCTCTTTTACTAAGAATAAATTATTCCCAAAAATACTATTTACATTTAATTTACATTACAATTTTATTAATGTATCAAATTTACTAAATACAAGCCATTGTATCGATCAGTGAGCTGTAATGCTTGATCTAGTTACTATGATAAACTGTTCACAGTTCGAGTACCACTGAAAATATTAAAAAAAACATTGAAAAGTTGTTTCCAAGACTAATTTCCTACCACAAACTTATGTTAGTGGAAAAGTAAAAAAGTACAAAGTGGTTATTTTTCTTTTTTGACTAAAAACTTATTTACTATAAGCTTGAAATTATTTCTAAAATAAATACAATTCTACTCGCGAGATTCGTAGATCCTGGGTTCGAATCTCGCGAGGCGGGGTCGTGGATGCTCACTGCTGAGGAGTCCCAAAATAAGACGAAGCGATCTTCCAGTGCTTACAGGTTTTCCATGATGGTCTAGCTTCAATTGACTAATGATCTCAACTATATAAAATTACTAAAATCTTCACAAAAAACCCCTTGTGATATCAAAGTAATCTATACAGGATGAATACATACCAAAAAAGTGACTGATTAATTTCAATCCTTAACATCAACAACTAAAAACATGTGAAAAAAAACCCTTTACGAATCGATTGAAAAATAGTCCTGTTACATAATCTAGCGATTGTCTGAACTCAATAGCTCGATGGATAACATACTGAGCATTTTAAATAGAAATTACCGGGCTCAAGTCTCGGTATGAGTATCGATAATGGGATGTAACAAGTACATCCAACTGATAAGTGTAGTGCCGTGCTTCGATCATAGTTCGCTTCGATAACCGTTATTAATACCAATCTTAACGGTGTATAATATCAGAAGGCAAAGGGAAGCGGCAACTACATTTTTATTGATAATCGATGCAGACCAGAAAGTTGTAAGCACATGAGCAACTGTAAGCAAGCGAAGCAAAGATGATGCGTATTGGAGATGGCTGGGAAGCCAACTCGAGAGTGAAGCGGAAGATAATGCGTACTGGAGATGGCTGGGAAGCCAACTCGTTTTAAGCAAGCGTTAACTAACATTTATAGGCAGGCAAAAATGAGTGACAGACATATGATGAATAAGATACGAAGTGTACACATATGCGCTCATATAAAAAGTACTCTAGGTTAATAAGCAAATGATTAACAAGATCAAAAGATGACTCAATGTACAGGTGAATTGGCTTGGCCAGTAACTAGAATAAAGTATATGGGCCTAACATATGAACTGGTACTACATAGCCCCCTTGTAGAAAATAGCACATTTATAAAAAAATGTCTGTTTTCGAAAAATAACACTGAAGCGGTATGAGGATAACGTCAAAATGTGGGAAAAAATGGTACAATACCTGATAAATTACAGTGTCATATGAGGAGTGAGCGTATTAAGCGAAAGTGTCATACTTATGTAAAAATGTACATGAATATTGTCAAGATTCGGACAAAAAATTGAAATGCTAGCATGTGATTATGAGTACATTAGTAAGCGTACGAAAAAAAATTAACATGCATTTGTGTAGTGACTGTCTGAATGATAAAATAACAGGTTCGTATAAGCAATTCGAAATATCGTGAAAATAGAGTAATAAATCGTTAATAGGTATGACAGCGTAATAAATCGTGAGAATAAGTAATTTAGAATATAATAGAAATTGGTCTGTAGTACCGACTGAATATGAGGATAAAGAACAGTGAAATATGATGTTCTGATAAGTCGCAGTAGAGTAAATAGAGTCGCTTAGCGATGAGTGTATTCGAATTTACATAACTGAAGTTTATGTGGGATAAGAAGTAATCCAGACGTAGGATGATGACTGCATCAGCGGTTGATATTCATTGCTGTACTGCAATTGATAATGATAATAAAATGCGAAGTCAGTGTACGTTGTCATGTGCGTCAAGTTATCGCTAAATATGTATTAGTAGAATGACCAGAGAAACAGGATAGTGACTGATGAAACGAGATATGCGGAGTCGTATTCCTTTATGGTCATGCAGCCTATCGTGGTTTGTGTAGTTAGAGGGATATGCGCTCAACCTCATTTGTTACGAAACCGTATTAAGGCATTATAAAAATACCAATACATATGATTATCGATATCAGCGAGTGAGACTGACTTGAATGTGACGAACAAGAGTGTAACTTTGAGAGACTAGCTCTAAACTCTATGTTCTGGTGTACAGTACAATGGAAATAAAATATTAATTGCAGTAATCGAATTGTGATTATCGGTAATGGATGATGCAGCATTCAGATATAAATGTGAATAAATAGATAATATGAAAATAATCATTACTAATCGGCTGGTAATGCGGCGTCGAATACTCGATTTGTGTATAAACATTAAAGTAGGGATCATCGTGAAACAAAAATTGCGGAAGTTCGGTTTAGATTGTCGCTGAAAATGTAGGAAATGACGGTTGCTGCGTACCAATGAAATGAATGAACATTAGTTGTCTATGGAGAACATAAGTTCATACTATCGGGAGTATGACTCCAAACTTATGTCTATGATAGAGTGTAATATTAAGCCGAAAATGACATGAAAAAATTGGAACGAACTCACTTGAATCAGGAAAATTGTACGTCATTGGATAATAAAAATAATCCAGTGAGTTTCGAATATGATAACGTGTAATGTCCAAATAATTATAATTTGTTCGATTAGTGATTCGACTGCGTGAATGTCATAGTTTAATGTGAATACGAGCAAAAATAATAATTCCACGTTAGATGATGATATGACATTATTGTAATAATGAGCATATGATGATTATTAGAATCAACGAAATATGTCGTCGGCGGTTTCATTTTTGATTTGTGTTCACTCGTTGCGGTTGCCGATTCTGTCGCGTGTTCCAAATACGGCGTGCCAATTATGTTGTGAGTTCGTACGTCGAGGTTGTCGATTCTGGTCGATGTTCGTTCGGCGAGACATACAATTATGTTTTCGCGTTCGTAAGTCGGGATCGCTAATTGTGTTGCGTGTTCGTACGTCGGGATTACCAGTTTTGTAGTGCCGTGCTTCGATCATAGTTCGCTTCGATAACCGTTATTAATACCAATCTTAACGGTGTATAATATCAGAAGGCAAAGGGAAGCGGCAACTACATTTTTATTGATAATCGATGCAGACCAGAAAGTTGTAAGCACATGAGCAACTGTAAGCAAGCGAAGCAAAGATGATGCGTATTGGAGATGGCTGGGAAGCCAACTCGAGAGTGAAGCGGAAGATAATGCGTACTGGAGATGGCTGGGAAGCCAACTCGTTTTAAGCAAGCGTTAACTAACATTTATAGGCAGGCAAAAATGAGTGACAGACATATGATGAATAAGATACGAAGTGTACACATATGCGCTCATATAAAAAGTACTCTAGGTTAATAAGCAAATGATTAACAAGATCAAAAGATGACTCAATGTACAGGTGAATTGGCTTGGCCAGTAACTAGAATAAAGTATATGGGCCTAACATATGAACTGGTACTACATAAGTCCTAAATATGACAAAATGCACTTACTGGATTTTGCTATTAGTCACTATTTAACTCTATTTAACATCATGAGTTATCATTATTTTCTATTAGATTGACTGAAACTTAATTGAAATTTACACCAAACTTTAAGTGTGTCAAACATCAGTCTTAGTAGTTACCAATTTTCGAAAGTCAGATAGTCGAAATGGTTTACATCTATATATATTGTCTTAATTCAGTTATCTGAAGCTACGATATTCAGCACAACAGTCCACCATATAAGTAGGAGTATGCACTGTTGAGAAGTCATTTATGAAGTTCTCTCTCGTTTACACTGATTTCGTGAACTGATATTTACAATGTAGACCAGCTTCTTTATGAAATTAGATAAATCTTTACAAAAATTACCTATTCCAATAACAGCTAGCAGTATAATCCAGGAAGAAAATTTCATCCTATTTGAAACCTAACCAGACATACCTGAATCTCGGTGTTCACATTCACATTAAGACTTAAATCCAGAATTTTTTTAGTTTTAGAAGCCAACTTCACTAGCTTGTACAACTGGTATGAATTATTTTTGTGACAATTTGTATTTTCCCATTGTTGCTATTCAGGACTGCAACTAATCAGTCTTTGTTGGGATATGGGGATTTCTAGCGAAATACCTTGATATTGTCATTCAGACACAAATTTTTAGTAAAGTTTAATAATGAAGAGAAAAAGAGTCCAGGATGCATATTTCATCCTATTTGCAAAGATAAATTGTATTTATTGACATTAACAACGAGAAAATACAAATCCTTACAGATGAATTGATTCACTAAGTATTGTTTGTTTGAATCTTCCCATCAATGTTTAGAACTGCAGCTGATCAATTTCTAATTGGCATATGTACATACTGTGCTTATTACCTCGATAATAGCATAAATTCACAAGCATTGTAAGCAAAGATGGATAGTGGCTAGTAGCGGAATCCAGGACGAGCATTTCGTCTTATTTGGGACTCGTCAGCTGGAAGTACCTGCATCTGAGAGTTGATGTTCACTCTAGGACTCGAGCCCAGTATCTTTCGCTTCAAACGCCAACACGTTATCCACTCGGCAACCGAGTCCTGATAGCCACTTGGTTGTGCAATGTTCTGAAGTTTAAATTCACTTAGTATTGTTTGTTTGAATCTTCCCACTACTTAGTGAATTTAAACTTCACCCCATTGCACAAGCAAGTGGCTATTAGGACTCAGTATCCAAGTGGATAATGCGATGACGTTTGAAGCGAAAGATACTGGGTTCGAGTCCTAGAATGAACATCAACTATGAGATGCAGGTACATCCAAATGAATTGATGTCTATATTTAACATTATATTGCGTATATCAATATCAATGTTTCTAAACAATCACTGTTTCCTTTATTGTTACAGAGGTTTACGATTACGTTACAAACAGACAATAAATTCTACTGATCCTTATCATGATCTAGATGGTATTGAAAGGAATATATTGAAAAAACGTTCAACGGATTTATATGGAACACATGAAAATATTAAATTTTCATTTCCAAATTCAATTAATCATCCACTTAGTACAGATCGATTATCATTATTACATAATAATCATCATAATCATCATCATGGATTAGATATAAAATGTTCTTCATCTTCTCATTGTTCTTCGATATCTACTTCAATGTGTAATACATCTTCATCGATTATATCAACATCGAATCAATTATTTTGTGGACTATCTAATTCTTTATCTTATACTTCATCAGATCAATTCTCATCGTATTCAATTAACAATTTGCATCACTATGGTAGTAGTAGTAGTAGTAATAATAATAATAATAATAATCATAATGGTAATAATAACAAATCAATTGATTCTTTACCATCATTATCATTTTGTAATTTATCAGATAGTAAATTATCTACTACAAAAGATTTATCATCTCCATCTTTATCATTACCTTATCCATTTTGGTCAAGTAAGTATCATTAATGGTCTTAGAGTAGTTGTATTCATTTTGTTTGATGATAATTAGTAATGAAATTTAGGTGAATAATTTGATAGTTGAAAGCGTGAGTCAATTGAGGCTAGACCATCAGGGAAAACCTGGAAGCATTGCTTTAAGGCCGTTTCGTCCTATTGTGGGACTCCTCAACAGTGCGCATCCACGATATATATGATATTTTCATACTTATCCAATTATTAATACATTTACCATTACATACTACTAATAATGCTGGCATCCAACGGTGTTAATGTCTAACTTCAACTGATTCACGAAATTGAGCAACCATTCACCAATGTCATCAGTGAGTTACTATCTCACAACAGACCTGGTTGAACTCCACCGGTTACTGCTTCTCACTAGAACTCCAGGAAATACCTCAAGGAGTCAGTCACAAATCAGTGGTCTATTGGTTAAGGGCTTCGGCTCGAAACTGGTAGGTCCTGGGTTCGAATCCCGCGAGGGTGGGTTCGTGGATGCGCACTGCTGAGGAGTCCCATAATAGGACGAGTTGGCCGTCCAGTGCTTCCAGGTTTTCCATGGTGGTCTAGCTTCAATTGACTCATGATCTCAACTCTATAATATACATTAGAAGCTTATAGATTTCTCTGCAATAATATGTCCGGGCTTATCGGTTTAAAATTAACCAATCAGCGCGCAGCAACACCATCATCATAAAACATGCTTAATTCAATCTATATCTCACTAACACACACTAGAATCACTTAAGTATTAAACTGCTTAGTTAGATAACCACAGAAAACCGAAAACCACCGGAAAACACCTTTATTCTAGTAAAGGACTTCATATTAGTACTCATTCAGGATCCCACTACCGGAGATAGGACAAGATTATAATTTATGGACGATTCAATGAAGTTAACTTTAACAAATCTTGAATGTCGGCGTGGAGTTCATCCATATGACTAAATAGCATTTTGGCATTATAGCTAATATCAGTTCGTGATGAAAACCTTTACTCTGAATCCGATCCATAATTTTTAACTGTAAATCCAAATCTTAATTTCTCATACATTTTCCTCAAGTTTACTTTATCCTCACTAAAAGGGCATCCATAAATTGTGGTCTTATCGTAGACAGAAACCTGAACATTCAGGTTTCCTAGACGGTTCATAAACTTTATACTACTAAGTAGGAGTTTTAGATCCTCACTGATGAGGGGCAGTATATAAGGATGAAATAGATCTCTAGTGCTTCCGTTTCTCCAATAGTTATCTAAATGATTAGTCCATGATCTGAACCACAAAAATTAAACAACGTTTTGTTTCATTGCATATCATTACTGATCAATGATATTTTCATACTTATCCAATTATTAATACATTTACCATTACATACTACTAATAATGCTATCTATTAGAAGAAACTTAATTCTTTCTTAAACATTTCATTTCAACAGGATATTTGGATCCAACATCATTGAATTCAACGTTGATATCAACAAATCTACCACGAAGTCAACATACAGTACATTACTGTCCAAAAATATCTAAATCACCATCCTCCTCCTCCTCCTCGTCATCTTCATCATCATCAATTGAATATTCTTTTAATAAAATACAAAATAATCATTCCATAGAATTTCAACGTCAACATCAACGACAACAACAATTTATGGATAAAACTGATAGAATACACGATATAAATGAAATGTCATCTGCAACAAATAATTCTTTTAATTTACCATCTTCAACAGTAACAGTTCAATCATTGTCATCAAAGTCAACATCATCATTAACATCAGGATTATCATCTCCGTTAGTAGGAACATCATCAGTCATCACTGTTACTACCAACACCACTACGACGACAATGACAACAACATCAACAATGAAATCAAGTCAATCATTACCATATTCAACATTAACTACATCTGTTTTCGATAGAATATCTGGATTAACTGGAGGAACAGGAGAGGGAATAACAGAATTACAACTCTTCTCAGATAATTTAAAACGTAAATATGATGAGATGAATAGATATTCTCGAGAACATCGCAATTCATTACAGAATCATAAAGATTTAAATTCATCCAGATTATGCTGTTCGGTAAGTTTGTTTTAGAATAAATCAAGTCTATAGGTTCATGGTTCACGTCCTAGAATGGAGGTCTTGGGTTCGATTCCTACATGCGGAGTCGTGAATACACCCTGTTGAGGAGTCTTATACTAGGATGAGACGGTAGTCTAGTGCTTTCAAGTTCTCAATGGCGGTCTAGTTAAGATTAGTTCATGATTAGAACTATGAAAATTGAAAAATCTCCAAACGTAATAATGATTTCTAAAAAATGATTATTGATCGGTTGTCAAACTAGACTAGATGGTAAACTATAATATCTGATTGTATTCAATGTTAAGATCATTTCGGTATTCAATGTTTATAAAATGTCAGTATAATCAAAATAATTATGAAATATCAGTTGAAAACAAAATGGGGGGTATCTTCACTATCCAGTTACATGTTACTGCACAATGTAAAATTATAGAATATTGATTATTACTAAGCATCTGAACTAGAAATATATACATTGCTGTCTTATGGTATATATATATATATAACCTTTGACGATGAGTTCAAACGGTGGACCTTAAGATAATGGTTCAAGGGTTTTAACTTCTCCATACAAGTGATGATTTCTAACTAATTAGGACATTCATCAGTATAGGATTATTGAAACCGAAGGTCCTAGGCTCGAGTCCCGCGTGCGGTATCATGGATGCTCATACTAGGACAAAACACACATCCAACGCTTCCAGGTTCTCAATGATGATCTAACATTGATCCATTCATGATATTAACCCAAACTAATTAGAATAACGTGATTATTCTGAAAGGAGATGGCGTAGGTGTTAGAAATTGTACCATAGTTATGGGGGCAAAATCCGACTCACACGTCCTCGTCGTGCCTCCCGGATAATGGGACTGTTTCCGTGAGCTAAAGTGAGCTGTTAATCGTGAGTGGTCGAGATTGGCCTAATCAACTACTCTGCCAATACCCCAAAAACGATTACGAATGCTACTATTGAGGGTTCAAAAAGAGAGGTAAAATAAAAAAGAGTCTGCCCAAATTTTTTTTTTAAAAAAAAGACAAAATAGGGTTTTGTGTGAGTGCTATGTAATGGTTCTGAGTGGCATTGCAGAAACAGCTATCCCACCCCGGAAGTTATGCCGTGCCTCGATGCAGCACTCTTCACCAGAAGGGCCTACTAGGCTTCTATATGGCTGGAAGGGGTACCATGGCTATAAGTTAAAGTTAAGAGCTATGCTTAAGATATTTCATTGAACTGATCCAATGCATTTATTAATTAGCTAATGATGCACTGAACTATATAAATTAATCTGAAATGTAATCTAAATCTGAATCAAGAACTGTTTTATCATTGAACTAATTCATCATAACAAATTCATTGTATGGTTACGGAGAAGATACTCTTTGTTTCTTTAGTTTTAAGTATTTTAAGAACTATATTTAAGCAGATGTCACTCTTAGTTCTTCGTTGAATATTGAATTTTTCACAAAAATCTTAAATCTGATTGACTTATTGGTATAGTTTAGTTTTACTTATGAGTCGACTTAAGCTGGAACACCACTGAAAATCTGAAAGCACTGGACAATCGTTTCATCATAGTACAAGACTCCTCAGCAGTGTACATCCAAGGTCCCACATACAGGACTCGAACCAATGACCTTCAATGTCACGCGTGAACGCTTAACCACTAAACCACTGATTCGGCATCCAACTGTGTTAATGTCTAACCTCAATCGATCCATGATCTTGCGAAACCTTTCATCCATAATCTGAGGTGGATAACTACCTCACACTCAACATAAATTGTATTTATCACAAGGAGGTTTTGTGGAGGTATTAGTAATTTTATATAGGTAAGATCATGAGTCAATTGAAGCTGGACCACCATGGAAAACCTGGAAGGACTGGACGGCCGTCTCGTCCTATTATGGGACTCCTAAGCAGTGCGCATCCACGATTCCCCCTCGCGGGACTAGAACCCAGGACCTATCAGTCTTGCACCAGAGAACTTAACCGATAGACCACTGAGCCGGCATCCGACGGTGTTAATGTCTAAGTTCGACCAATCCACGAAATTGCGCGACCAACTTCCATTGTACTGAGGTATATACCTATCTCTACCTGACATGGATTAGTTCCACTGGCTACGACTTCTCACGAGAACTCCAGGAATTACGTTATGGAGCCAGTCACTAGTGAGCATATGATTGCATTTCACTGGTCACGGTTTATCATGTGCCGCGTGAGGGATAGTAGATGTGCACTGCTGAAGAGTCCCATACTAGGACGAAGTGGTCATCCAGTGCTTTCAATTTTTCAATGATAATCTAGCTTCAATTGACTCATGATCTCAACTATATAATATTTAATTTGTTCATTTCATCTTTTTCTCCTCTTATTTCTACTTTTATATAGCCTATCAAAAAACAATATATTCAAAAGACCATTTCAACAAATAAGGAATCCGAATGCTTCAATGAAAATGAATATAACAACACTATTAAAAGTTCTAATCAAACCCTTATAAATGATCAATTTTATTGTACTGAAATAAAATGTAAACATGAATTCAATCATTCATTATGCTGTAATTGTCCTAATTCATTGCCAATATTATCTCATGACAATGATGTAATCACTTCATCAATAACCCCATCAACATCATTAACATTTATGAATTCATCTAAACGTAGTTTCAATATAAGTTGTTTATTAGAATAAACTCAAAAAACCGAAAAAAAAAACCAGTTGATGAATATTTCCCCCTCCCCCCTTTTTTAAAAATTAAAATGTAAAATAATCAAATTGCATTTTATCTTGTATTTTAATATACTATTCAATTGATAACGTATAATAGAAAGTCTAGAATAACAGTAGTATGATTCTATATTGTATATAATGTATATAGAATGATAAACATAAATAGATATATATGTGAATCATTAATTTCATAATCATATCAATGAACCAAATGAAGACCATTTTTGTCGGAGGGGGGTTCTTCGATCATTATGTTGCTAGGCCCTTTTAGTCGATACAAAGCTTATATATACATATATATATGTACTGAAGATCTATTGAATGTATATAAAAAAACACCTTCTCCGAAAGCATTATACATGTTATAAATAGTTTTAAAGAGATTGACAACAGTAACAAAGAAAAAACACACACCCTAATTTTATTAACTTACATTACCATGATGTTTTTATTCTTTTCAATTTGTTTTTAGTTGTTTTCATTATTACGATCATCTATGCTTTCCCCCTCTCTCTCTCTCCCACCCACTCACACCCATACATACATACACATATACAAACAATCATATATGTATACACTTATGTAATATGACATTTTACAAGAATGGCTGTTAAGTAAAGAAGGGAAAAGTGATCCCCCCCAAAAAAACTATTTTATTTTACATAAAGTTTACATTCATTTATTGTTTCTTTCAAAATTTTCCTCTAGTCTACAGATATCTAAATTATAAATGTAAAGCTTTGAGTATATACATTGTAACTTACCATTTGTTTCCTACGTTTTGTTATATATTTTAACACATATATTGCATAATACTTATGTTTAAATATTGTAATATTAATAATAATATGAATATGAATATTAGTTTAGTGATTACATCATAAACCCCATGATTCCATCTGCAAATTGTATCCATGAGGCAAATGATGATGATGACTAAAACAAACGAATAAAATCAATGTCAGTTAAAAAGACAATAAAAGTGAATGATATTCATTCAATCTTTTGTTTGTTTATTTTAAAAAAAAATTTTTTTTTCTTGGAATTTTTCCCTTAGTAACTATTATTTTATTTTATTTTTTGTAAATCTTCTCTTATACAACCTTTTTATTAGTTTAAAATAGGTAAATGAAAAGGAAAATAATAATAATAATTGATAAATTAAAACATAAGTCATTATTATTATTATTACTATTACTATTATTACTATTACAATTATTATTATTATTATGTTTTAATTCAATAGTGAACTATTTATTCATTTTTAAGTTATTCATTATTATGAAATAATAAATAAATAAATAATCTGATTATAAATGAGTGTTGTTTTAATTTATTTATTTCGTAAAAACAAAACTGAGATAAGAAACGGAATAGTCTAATCATTAATTGATCACTAGGTGGTGATTAATGTTATATGTGTTAGGTCTTTCTTAGTATAGATCGATTCCTATCGATCAACTTCCATATGGAACTAAAAACAATGGTCAACTAACTTCAAAGTGAGAATCTTCAATACGAACGTCAAGACAGTTCTACTGTACGGAGCTGAAACGTGGACAACTACTACAACTAACATCAAAAAGGTACAAGTATTTATAAACAGTTGTTTACGCAAAATACTCAACATTCACTGGCCGGATACTATCAGCAATAGCGTTTTATGGGAGAGGACAAACCATCTTCCATCTGAAGAGGAAATTAGGAAAAGATGTTTGAAGTGAATCGGACATACATTAAGGAAGTCACCAATGTGCATCACGAGTCAATCCCTAACTTGGAATCCGGAAGGGAAGCGGAAAAGAGGAAGGCCGAAGAACACATTACGTCGGGAAATAGAAACAGATATGAAAAAGATGAATAACAACTGGAAAGGATTGCCCAGGACAGAGTTGGATGGAGAATGCTGGTGAGCGGCCTATGCTCCTCCATGAGGGGTAACAGGCGTAAGTAAGTAAGTAAGTAAGATCAAGTTCCAATGTGACTACTAATCTAGATGACTCGACATTTCGTGCAGTATATTCGAATGAGATAGTGATTAGAGGCATTCAACAGGAATATAAAAATTTTGTTGTTTATCACATTGAATTGTCAGAATGACTAAAATTTTTATTAAATAGTTGAATTCATAAGTCGATTAAAGCTAGACAACCATGGAAAACCTAGAAGCACTAAACAACCGTGTCGTCCTAGTATGGGGCTCTTCAAAAAGGTGCATTATTATTATTAGAAAAATAACTTGGATCATATACTTAACCATTGATTTACAATTGATTGATCACTAGATGGTGATTCATGTTATATGTGTCAGGTTCTTCTTAGTGCACATCGAACCCTATAGATCAAGTTGCAAGGTGACTACTAGTCTAGATGACTCGATATTACATGCAGTATATTGGAATGAGATGGTGGTTAAAGGTATTCAACAGGAATATAAAAGTTCTGTTGTGGCGGGACTAAACTTTATGGACGAGCTAATCAGAAGCTTTCGCGGTTTTTCAAGGTTACGGAGCTGAGTTCTGTACCCAATGCTTACGTACGATCGGTTTACAGCGGATTTCATAGAGGACGTGATAATTCAGCGTCTACAAGAGAAGGGATTATTAAGAAGTTCCTATACTTGTGACTGTGGTACCCAAATGACTTTTTTCGCTCGATCACGATTAAGGTTAAGACCCTAACCCTAAACCCCAACTCTAAACAATAACCCTAACCCTAACCTTAACCTTAAACTACACCAACACACCAACAACACTGAAGCTATGTGGTCGAGGCTAAAAGAATTTTTGAGACCTTATCATGGCTCCAGAGGCCGACTACTATGGAGCCATATGGATGAGTTCCTGTACCGTATGCACTATGATTTTAGAACTTCTGAACCTATATCTGACCTTGAGAAGTTTTTGAGCCATGTGAAAGAACAGTATCCGCTTTAATTTTTTAGTTTTGTATAATATATTTTTGCTGTATACTAACTGCCTTCTAATTGGCTAATATTTCTCAAGGTCATTTAAGGTTCGTTCAAAGTCGTCCATAAAGTCAAGTCTCGCCGCTAGACCACCACTGAAAACCTGGAAGTACTGGACAGCCGTTTCATCCTAGTATGAGATTCCTCAAAAGCGCGCATTATTATTATTAGAAAAATAACTTGAATCATATACTTAACGATTAATTTACAATTGATTGATCACTAGGTGATGATTAATGTTATATGTGTTAGGCCTTTCTTAGTATAAACGAATCCTATCGATCAAGTTGTAATGTGGCCAATAGTCTAGATAACTCGACATTATGTGCAGTATATTGTGATGAAACGGTGGTTAATGGTAGTCAACGGGAAACCCTTCACCTAGGTTTTGTGCTATTTTGTCACTCGCCAGTAAGGTGTATCTGACACACATGACATTGATTACCACCCACGGGTCAACCAATTGTAAATACACCTCAGTCCTACAGAAGATCGGTCGCGATCCGGATAGCACAATGGTAATGTCTCTGACTGTGAAGCTGGATGATACAACATCGAATCCATCAGGGAGTATTGGTCCCGTCAAAAATTACAGGTACACGATGCTGATGAGTGCCAAAATAGCACGAAACCTAGGTCTAAGTTTTCCTGTCGACCATCGCTAACCACCATCTAAACTGAACAGTGAATAACTGTTCAAATTGGATAATTGAAACAATCATAAACTATCCAGAATCAGATAACAAATGAAGTACAGATGTATCAAACAGATGGAGGTAATCGACATGAATCCTTAACTTAAATTTCATGCTAGTTAGCTTCATCAATAAGATGTACTTATAATTTCTTGAGAATTGATGCTTCTTGGTGAAATCCAATTCAATTTACATAACTTTACATTCTAAGAAGTTTGTAGTAGGGTATTGCGGTCACAACTGACCTCTTGTAGAACTGAGATACTTGTAATTGATTGATCACTTAGTTATAATCAGTATCCTGATTGTCTGGTTCGTTGGTTGTGTTCAAATTCTATTAATCAAATGAAATATGGTCAGTAGTTTAAGCGACTCGATATTGCATATACTGTGTTGCAATGTAAGTTGGTTGAAGGTAGTTATTAGAAAAATATGAAGTTTTTTATTCATGTAAACTGTTCCTCGTCAACATGGTGTATCGGTAATCTGGACTGAACGGATATTTTCCATGGGATTCGAACTCGTGTCATGTGACTTCACAGCATCGTCTATGTGTTATAAACTCATTTAACTAAAGGTCACATTTTCCGAAATGTATGTCCTATCCATCTCCAGCATATTTTCCTAATTTCCTCCTCATCTGGAAGCTAGTTTGCACTCTGATACAGTAGGCTGTTGCTAATGGTATCCGGCTAACGGATCTAGAGTATCTTCTGTAGACACTTGTCCATAATAACTTGTACATTTTTGATGATGTAGTAGTTGATGTTGTAGTAGTTCTCCAAGGTTCAGCTTTGTACGATAGAAATGTTTCGATGTGACTATCAGGAATCACTGGCCGAGTGGATAACGCGATGGCGTTTGAAGCAAGGGTTCTGGGTTCGAGTCCCAGAGTGAACATCAACTCAGATGCAGGTACATCCAGTTGACGAGTCCCAAATAGGACGAAATGCGCGTCAAACTGGATTCCACTGCTAGCCACTATCCATCTCTGCTTACCAATTCATAGCTTAGCTTAAGATGAAATATAACAAAAACATTTATTATACAGACTTTTTTAAACAACGATGGATATTGGCCAGCAGTGGAATCCAGGATGGGCGCTTCATCCTGTTTGGGAGTTGTAAGCTGGAATGTACCGCATATTAGAGTTGATGTTCAGTTCGGGACTCGAACCCAGTACCGTCCACTTGAAACGCCATCGTGTTATCCATTCAGTTACTGAGTCGTGATAGCCACCAGCATGTCCAATGGGGCGAAGTTTAATTCACTTGGTAATGTTTGCTTGTATCTTCCCG